GCGAGCATGTTCGGGATGCGGTTTTACCCCTCGAAATGCAAAATGTTGCTTCAAGACTGGGTTGCTTCGGCACCTGAACTAGTGATAGGGAGTGAAGTAGTCGAGCGTGTAGATCACTTCACTTATCTGGGGAGTCTCATCAGTGCTAACGGTCTGGTGACTGACGAAATCTCAGCTCGGATACAGAAAGCTGTATTGGCTTTTGCGAACCTGCGTCACTTATGGCGTAGGCGCGATATCCGTTCGCTAACCAAAGGGCGGGTGTACTGCGCAGCAGTTCGTTCCGTTCTCTTATATGGCTGTGAAACATGGCCGTTAAGAGTAGAAGATGTTCGTAGGTTACTAGTATTCGATCAAAGATGTTTAAGAAGGATTGCTCGTATACCGTGGGACGGCCGAGTAAGCAATGCTGTCGTTAGGAAACTAGTACTAGGTAAGGATGGCAAATCAATAGATGAAGTTGTGAAACTTCATCAGTTGAGGTGGTTGGGACATGTGCTGCGTATGCCTGCCTCGACGAGCTATGTTTTGTGATGTAGGAGTAGGTTGGAACAAAGTTAGGGGCGGCCAGACCAAAACATGGCAGAAATCCATGAAGTCACTGACTAGTGGACTGAGTCATGTTGGTAGATGTAGACTACCTGGTTGGGGTCCGCGAGACGAAAGTCATCAATGGTTAGAGACCTTGAATGGCATGGCTCAAAATCGTTTGCAATGGCGCAGGTGCATCCACTCTTTGAGCTCTCTCAAATCCTAATCTTCTGGATTCGTCAATACCTCTGCCTTTGTCTTTATAATCTTATCTCACTGAATTATATTTTTTGAATAATATCTTCGAACTCTAGTCTTCTTTATTAACATTAATACCTCTACTATCTTTATCACTATGGGATTTGATGTGACATTTGCGTCTCTGTGCTAATAATGTGGTATGGCAACATGAACTTATGTACATACGTACGAAGTTCCACGTTGCAACTGACTGACTGACTGACTGACCAATCATAGACATTCGTCATTTAGGACATCTTTGACAGTCATCAAATGACCTTCTCGTTTGACCACCTCTGATTGGGTTTTCTATATTCGTATCGTTACAGCTACACATAGAACATAACACTCATTAATCAATATATGTACGGCATTTAAGTAAACTTACTATTTGACTTGAATTCAGCTTAACTTACCATCAGGTCGAAGCCGCTTCTTTTTCTCACCAGATTGATTACTTTCACGAACCTGCAAAAAAATAGTATCGACTAAATAATTCAATATAAATAAAGTGTTTACTATACAAAGTGTGACGGTGGATAGTCAATAATTAATTCCTAAACTTCATGTACTGCCTCATCTTTCTTGATAACCGTTACTAGAGAACAACATCCAATAGTGGTGTATACACTTCAGAAGCATTGAATACGTTTTATTATTGCGTCATACCGATCACAAGGATACGACGAAATGAAATCAGTTAAATTCAGTTTTGTTTGTGTATAAATAACAAACGACAATTTGAATAAGTTGTTATATGAGGAGAGAAATTGGTAAGAATGGTAACTCCCCCCTTAGGATTAACTTTTGGGGTTTATTAAATACATATTCATATATAACTCTTGCTTAACTCATGAACTACTACTGTTATTCCTCATTCTTTATTTGTTGTTAGTTTATAAGTCGTAGTCTCCTCTATGTCAGTTATTTCCACACCTAACCAATCAAATCGTGGTTAAGCGTTCACCAGGTGATCTGGTCTGACGTGCCCGTAAATTATCTTTGTTGTAAATGACTTACTAATTGAAGAACATTATTATCTTATTATTATTATTGTGACTCATAGTTTTATTCATTTCCATAAGACACACTATATTGGTCGGTATGTTTGTTCGTTTCACTTGATAACTGTAATTTCCTTGATTATTGTACTGACCTAATTGTTTTTATGTTTAGAAACAGATAAAGTTTAAAGCAAGTTGTCCTTGTTCTGACTGTAGCTTTCACATAGACTCTGTGCTCGCCAATATTGCGTTCAAGGTCATAAAACTACATCTGTAGGACGAATTAAATCCTACATTTTATTCACACACACACACACACAGCTTATGTGACCCGCTCATATATGAGATTGTTTTTTTCCATTACTTGCACATAAACGACATATGTTTGAGACATATGATTCGATTAGTGGACATTTGAACTTAACGAGCCAGTCAGGGAGAGAATTCTTCTGTACTAACAGGAACTTAGCTGCTGAGTATAGACGTTATTGGTAGAGAATTATGTTCTGATTGTGGTCTTATTTTGTTACTTGTGATATTAGTCGACAATTAAGAACACAACCATTGACCACAGAGGGAAAGTGTAATCAATCAGTCAAATTGAAAATATAATAATTATCAAAGGTGAATTTCAAAAAGCAGCAATAACAACAGTCAAAGTATAATAATAATATAGACCAAGGATTTCTGATTGAAGTCAGTTACAACTTAGAACTTCGCACATGCACGTACATCAGTCTAGGCCTTACCACATTAGCACACAGATGCAATTGTCACTTCAAATCCCATAGTAGTAGAGGTATTATAAGTATTAGGGATCGAAAATATCATTCGAGAAGTATAAAACAGTGAAATAAAGTTGAAAAGAGAAAGACAAAGGTAACGAAGAGTTCAGAAGATTAGGATTTAAGAGAAACCAAAGGTAAGTACTTGCATTACATCATCCGAAGCGAAATAAAAAATGTAGCGTTTGGTTATTGTTATTATCTCTTCCTAAGTCTGCTTAAACCTTGAATCTAAGTTGGGAAGGTCCTTGTAAAACTATTAAGCATTTGTTTAGATTCCTGATTACACTTTTGACTTCTTAATCTACAAAATCTTATGATGATATGGTATCAGATTATGTAAAATAGCAGATCAAAATCAAAAGAAATATAACTTTTAAAGCTTACGCTACTTTCCACTTCTCCCTCAACTTGACCTTTAGCTTTTTTCTGGGCAACTTCAGCGTCGACTTCAGCCTGAAATCTTGCTCTTGCAGCTTCCACAGCTAAACGACGTGATTCACTATCAATTCGTGAGTTTTCAGACCGAGAACGGAAGAATTTCCAAAGAAAATATGTTATTGTGATAATAATTAAGGCTGTTAATCCATAAATGGAGTTAGTTTGCGGACTAACTACAGATTAAAAACACTTTTCAGAGAATACTTCATCAATACCTTCTGGAGCATGAAAATCCATCTTAAAAATAGCCTCTGCTGTGCGCTGATTAACAATTCGTGATGGTTTTTATGAGATATGTGACAAGAAAATCAGACCTAAAAATAAGCCAGAAAATTATCAAATAATTTATGAGTTAAAATAAACTTGATGCTTATGGACAATGGCGGTTGGTTAGAACCCAGTTTCGCTTGCTTTAAATTGGAACAATTGAGTAATAATACCGGGATTTACATTGTGTATTTCAAAAACAAGCATATGAAAGTGACTAATGATTTTCCGCCTAAAAAACACACCGTGAAGAACATCAACTGCTATTTTTTCGGTAAAACATTCAAAAATAGTTATAATAAAGGCGGATTAACACCTACAGTGAGACGATGGTAATCTACCTTAGCCAAACAATTAGATGACGAACTACAGGATTTAAGTAGTACTAATGCCTAGTAACTCTATAATCGCGAAACCTTAAAAACTAAGTAAATGGCTCCTTTCATTCACTCGGACTTTTGCACACCGTGAAGAAAAGATAAAGTAACGGAAACTTGGAGATCAGCATGTGATTAACAAATATAACCTCGTTTATCTCGAGGGAAGTTGTATGTATACAATCAGAGATACAATTTATTGTCTGATAAAGTAGCGCCGATAATTCTATAGATGAACCCGACCATAATCAACACGCGTCCTGAAGCGAACAGTGTGCAGTAAGAACATACTGCTTGTAAGTAGGATGTTGAACGTAAAATATCTGTTTATAAATCTTCAAAATTTTTAATAGTTGTCTTTGTGTTCTTAGCCTTCCATGTAATCATATTTTTACTTTTATCCCCCGTTTTAGAACGTGTTCGTAATATTATTTCTTGTTAGTATCATACAGCAAGATACAAACTAAAGCTAATTTTTCAATTGTTTGTGCATTTAGCTCGCCTTGTACTTTTCTTGCGACCGAATCTAAACTAAAATAACTTACGCTAAACATTGAAGGTGGCAGCGACACCTGATGATTGCGTTTCACAAGGTGGAAGAGCAACCTTGGAATCAAAATGAGGACCGTGTTCAATATCCAATATCTTTTCCACGAGCTAGTGTAAAACAATTTGATTTCTTCGCGCTCGATTCTTGTTCTCTCGGTACGGTTCCAGGTGTTCGGTAATTTCCAATGGATGGAGGTCTAGCCACTCGACTGTCTAATTCTAGTCAGTTGGTTGTGAGTTTGTATGTCTCGGGATTTGAATGAGAACGTTTGTTTCAGGGCAGTAGGGTTTCTGGATACCAGCAGCCGTCACATTACCAGACCGGAGATCAGTTAGCTGCAATGTGGAGAGTAATAAGGGTAATAAGGATAAAATTAAAACGATAATATGAATAAAATTTCAGAACTGAGTAATATATAGATGAATTTAGTTTGTTAATTGGTAGTGAAGATTGTGAGAGAGGACCGAAGTGTAAGCAAGGGAGAGGAAACAGAGATAATAGGCGAGATAGATTAATTGAGTGATCTGAGGAGATGGCAATGGTAACAACTAGCAGGTCTCAAGATATGCATCATGAACAGCTTGTCCAAGAGGGAGATGATAGTCCGTATGTGAGTAAAATAAGAAGAATACGTATTTATCAAGTCTCTTCTTAAAGCAGTCCACTGAGGGGGCTGTAACTACCTCGGCTGGGAGAGCATTCCAAGTTGCGACGACTCGCAATGAGAAAAAGTGTGCACGAATCTGATTATTTGCTCTTTGAAGTGCAATCTTTCTAGGATTGCCTCGAGGGGAGCGGTGGTGATGCATCGGTAAGATGCTCACATTGGGATGGTTTGGCGTGTTTAATATGGTGTACGCCATAATCAGGTCACCTCTGAGTCTCCTGTAGCTCAGTGGGAATAATCCAAACAGCTGGAGTTCAGTGTTCAGTATTTTCAATACCAGGGTAGTGATGACTCGTAGGTCTTTTTGTGCCTAGTTTACGAGTAACTCAATGTTATTCACCGCGTGTGTATCTGTGCATTGGTTACCAATATGCGTCATGATTCACTTGGAGGCATTTATTGGCAACTGCTATATTTCTGACCATTCAGATGACACCTGCAGTTAATTTTGAAGCCTTCATTCTTTATCGCTCTCTATGTACTGAAAATGATGACAGCTGGAGGCTAGTAAGGTCATTTACATACAGAAGGAACGACAGTGGACTTGAAACTGTACGCTGAGGCACCTCTCCAAGCAAAGTTCCCCAGATAGATAACTTCCAATACCCAATGTCTTTCACACGAGTCAGTATAAAACAATTGATTTATTTGTGCTTGATTCTTGTTCTTTCGGTACAGTTCAAGGCGTCTGGTAGTTTCCGATCAATGGGGGTCTAGCTACTCAGCTGTCTAATTCTAGTCATTTGGAAGTTGGTTGTGAGTTTGTATGTCCCGTGATTTGAATGAAACGTTTGTTTCAGGGCAGTAGGGTTTCTGAATACCAGCAGCCGTCACATTACCAGACCGGAGATCAGTTAGTTGTAATGTGGAAAATAATAAGGAGAGGATTCTAATGCTAATATGAATGATAATATGATGATTAGAAGTATGTGAATCAAGAACTATGGAATAAGCACAAACGAATGAATTGTATTTAGAATTCGAAAACCAAGCATTCCACAACAACAAGGAGTTACTAGTTAATTCAAACACCACATCCGCCACAGCTTAAATTGGGATGCAAGTGTCTGCAATCAATTGTACGTCTTCTTCTCAAATTCATCCTGTGTCTGTCCGACAATGTATTGGATAAAGGCTCTGTATTATCTAGAATGCTCTCATTAGTACTAGAATTAACAACCGAAATTGGAACAGACTCACCTGGTTCCTGGAATTGTATTTGATCAACATGTCGATTGTGTGTACTTAAGTCATTGATATCTAGAAGTCGCACCATAGATTTCCCGACATTCTTCAGAACAATCCCCGTGGATGGTCGAAGACCACTGCCACGATAATATGTAACTTCTGCAGACTCCAAACATCTCATATTCGACCGAAGAATTCTTCCTTTTAATAGTTTTGATGGAGTCTCTTTCGTCACCGAATGTCTGGCATTTCTATATTGCAGTAGAAAGGTATCTACTCCCCTCTCCATCTCATTAAATGTTGAGGCGGCATTAGAATCAATAGCGGTTTTCAACGTCCTGACGAAATTTTCTGCCTGACCATTGGAACAAGGATGTCTGGGAGTAGTAAACAGATGTTTGCACCCTATACCATTTAACCAGGTAGTAACTGCATCTGCAGCAAAATGAGTGCCGTTATCAGTCACTAACACCATTGGAACCCCTTCTCGACTAAACGCCTTTCTTAATGCTTGAATTGTGAAGTCAGAATTTGGTGAGTTTGTGAAAAATCATTTTCAGGTCACTTTGACAATATATCAGTTGACTACAATGTTTTTCTATAGTTTTTTGCAAAGAACGGTGGCCCATATTTAGGTCGCCTACACATGTTGGCCACGTGGATATTGCTCTCACTATGATACAGTCATACGATAGGAAGGATCAAGTGATGAGATTTTCACGTGTGCTCCGGGTATGCAGACTTTGTGGGCCTCGGTCTTTCTTGTGGCAAACTACTACGGCACTGTGTGCATGTGATGTCTTTTTCAAAACGTGGCCCTTTTGTTCGTATTTTTTCACTGAAAACTCGACGACAGCGAGCGGTGGAACTCACCTAATGTTACGTGACTCACAATATTTCAAGCATTACAGCAGAGTGCGTTTTTAGTCTGAGGGAAAGGGAGGGTTCCATTATTGTGGTTAGTAGTGACTGCTACAAATGCGGCTAAGCGTATTTTATTGCTGCATGATGAGCGTCCTCCTGGTTAACATGGTTGAGGGTGCAAATAACAGTCTTGTTTCACACATCTACTCGCCGTAGGTACACTCCTATGTTCATTGGTCAGTGACGAATAATGTTCGCTCTGCGTGTTAGCGTTGAAAACCGCTATTGATTCTAATGCCGCCTCAACATTTAATGAGATGGAGAGGGGAGTAGATACCTTTCTACTGCAATATAGAAATGCCAGACATTCGGTGACGAAAGAGACTCCATCAAAACTATTAAAAGGAAGAATTCTTCGGTCGAATATGAGATGTTTGGAGTCTGCAGAAGTTACATATTATCGTGGCAGTGGTCTTCGACCATCCACGGGGATTGTTCTGAAGAATGTCGGGAAATCTATGGTGCGACTTCTAGATATCAATGACTTAAGTACACACAATCGACATGTTGATCAAATACAATTCCAGGAACCAGGTGAGTCTGTTCCAATTTCGGTTGTTAATTCTAGTACTAATGAGAGCATTCTAGATAATACAGAGCCTTTATCCAATACATTGTCGGACAGACACAGGATGAATTTGAGAAGAAGACGTACAATTGATTGCAGACACTTGCATCCCAATTTAAGCTGTGGCGGATGTGGTGTTTGAATTAACTAGTAACTTCTTGTTGATGTGGAATGCTTGATTTTCGAATTCTAAATACAATTCATTCGTTTGTGCTTATCCCATAGTTCTTGATTCACATACTTCTAATCATCATATTATCATTCATATTAGCATTAGAATCCTCTCCTTATTATTTTCCACATTACAACTAACTGATCTCCGGTCTGGTAATGTGACGGCTGCTGGTATTCAGAAACCCTACTGCCCTGAAACAAACGTTTCATTCAAATCACGGGACATACAAACTCACAACCAACTTCCAAATGACTAGAATTAGACAGCTGAGTAGCTAGACCCCCATTGATCGGAAACTACCAGACGCCTTGAACTGTACCGAAAGAACAAGAATCAAGCACAAATAAATCAATTGTTTTATACTGACTCGTGTGAAAGACATTGGGTATTGGAAGTTATCTATCTGGGGAACTTTGCTTGGAGAGGTGCCTCAGCGTACAGTTTCAAGTCCACTGTCGTTCCTTCAGTATGTAAATGACCTTACTAGCCTCCAGCTGTCATCATTTTCAGTACATAGAGAGCGATAAAGAATGAAGGCTTCAAAATTAACTGCAGGTGTCATCTGAATGGTCAGAAATATAGCAGTTGCCAATAAATGCCTCCAAGTGAATCATGACGCATATTGGTAACCAATGCACAGATACACACGCGGTGAATAACATTGAGTTACTCGTAAACTAGGCACAAAAAGACCTACGAGTCATCACTACCCTGGTATTGAAAATACTGAACACTGAACTCCAGCTGTTTGGATTATTCCCACTGAGCTACAGGAGACTCAGAGGTGACCTGATTATGGCGTACACCATATTAAACACGCCAAACCATCCCAATGTGAGCATCTTACCGATGCATCACCACCGCTCCCCTCGAGGCAATCCTAGAAAGATTGCACTTCAAAGAGCAAATAATCAGATTCGTGCACACTTTTTCTCATTGCGAGTCGTCGCAACTTGGAATGCTCTCCCAGCCGAGGTAGTTACAGCCCCCTCAGTGGACTGCTTTAAGAAGAGACTTGATAAATACGTATTCTTCTTATTTTACTCACATACGGACTTTCATCTCCCTCTTGGACGAGCTGTTCATGATGCATATTTTGAGACCTGCTAGTTGTTACCATTGCCATCTCCTCAGATCATTCATTTATTCCATCTCGCCTATTATCTCTGTTTCCTTTCCCTTGCTTACACTTCGGTCCTCTCTCACAATCTTCACTACCAATTAATAAACTAAATTCATCTATATATTACTCAGTTCTGAAATTTTATTCATATTATCATTATAATTTTATCCTTATTACCCTTATTACTCTCCACATTGCAGCTAACTGATCTCCGGTCTGGTAATGTGACGGCTGCTGGTATCCAGAAACCCTGCTGCTCTGAAACAAACGTTTTCTTCCGAATCCCGAGACATACAAACTCACAACCAACTGACTAGAATTAGACAGTCGAGTGGCTAGACCTCCATCCATTGGAAATTACCGAACACCTGGAACTGTACCGAAAGAACAAGAATCGAGCGCGAAGGAATCAAATTGGTTCACACTAGCTCGTGGAAAAGATATTGGATATTGAACACGGTCCTCATTTTGATTCCAAGGTTGCTCTTCCACCTTGTGAAACGCAATCATCAGGTGTCGCTGCCACCTTCAATGTTTAGCGTAAGTTATTTTAGTTTAGATTCGGTCGCAAGAAAAGTACAAGGCGAGCTAAATGCACAAACAATTGAAAAATTAGCTTTAGTTTGTATCTTGCTGTATGATACTAACAAGAAATAATATTACGAACACGTTCTAAAACGGGGGATAAAAGTAAAAATATGATTACATGGAAGGCTAAGAACACAAAGACAACTATTAAAAATTTTGAAGATTTATAAACAGATATTTTACGTTCAACATCCTACTTACAAGCAGTATGTTCTTACTGCACACTGTTCGCTTCAGGACGCGTGTTGATTATGGTCGGGTTCATCTATAGAATTATCGGCGCTACTTTATCAGACAATAAATTGTATCTCTGATTGTATACATACAACTTCCCTCGAGATAAACGAGGTTATATTTGTTAATCACATGCTGATCTCCAAGTTTCCGTTACTTTATCTTTTCTTCACGGTGTGCAAAAGTCCGAGTGAATGAAAGGAGCCATTTACTTAGTTTTTAAGGTTTCGCGATTATAGAGTTACTAGGCATTAGTACTACTTAAATCCTGTAGTTCGTCATCTAATTGTTTGGCTAAGGTAGATTACCATCGTCTCACTGTAGGTGTTAATCCGCCTTTATTATAACTATTTTTGAATGTTTTACCGAAAAAATAGCAGTTGATGTTCTTCACGGTGTGTTTTTTAGGCGGAAAATCATTAGTCACTTTCATATGCTTGTTTTTGAAATACACAATGTAAATCCCGGTATTATTACTCAATTGTTCCAATTTAAAGCAAGCGAAACTGGGTTCTAACCAACCGCCATTGTCCATAAGCATCAAGTTTATTTTAACTCATAAATTATTTGATAATTTTCTGGCTTATTTTTAGGTCTGATTTTCTTGTCACATATCTCATAAAAACCATCACGAATTGTTAATCAGCGCACAGCAGAGGCTATTTTTAAGATGGATTTTCATGCTCCAGAAGGTATTGATGAAGTATTCTCTGAAAAGTGTTTTTAATCTGTAGTTAGTCCGCAAACTAACTCCATTTATGGATTAACAGCCTTAATTATTATCACAATAACATATTTTCTTTGGAAATTCTTCCGTTCTCGGTCTGAAAACTCACGAATTGATAGTGAATCACGTCGTTTAGCTGTGGAAGCTGCAAGAGCAAGATTTCAGGCTGAAGTCGACGCTGAAGTTGCCCAGAAAAAAGCTAAAGGTCAAGTTGAGGGAGAAGTGGAAAGTAGCGTAAGCTTTAAAAGTTATATTTCTTTTGATTTTGATCTGCTATTTTACATAATCTGATACCATATCATCATAAGATTTTGTAGATTAAGAAGTCAAAAGTGTAATCAGGAATCTAAACAAATGCTTAATAGTTTTACAAGGACCTTCCCAACTTAGATTCAAGGTTTAAGCAGACTTAGGAAGAGATAATAACAATAACCAAACGCTACATTTTTTATTTCGCTTCGGATGATGTAATGCAAGTACTTACCTTTGGTTTCTCTTAAATCCTAATCTTCTGAACTCTTCGTTACCTTTGTCTTTCTCTTTTCAACTTTATTTCACTGTTTTATACTTCTCGAATGATATTTTCGATCCCTAATACTTATAATACCTCTACTACTATGGGATTTGAAGTGACAATTGCATCTGTGTGCTAATGTGGTAAGGCCTAGACTGATGTACGTGCATGTGCGAAGTTCTAAGTTGTAACTGACTTCAATCAGAAATCCTTGGTCTATATTATTATTATACTTTGACTGTTGTTATTGCTGCTTTTTGAAATTCACCTTTGATAATTATTATATTTTCAATTTGACTGATTGATTACACTTTCCCTCTGTGGTCAATGGTTGTGTTCTTAATTGTCGACTAATATCACAAGTAACAAAATAAGACCACAATCAGAACATAATTCTCTACCAATAACGTCTATACTCAGCAGCTAAGTTCCTGTTAGTACAGAAGAATTCTCTCCCTGACTGGCTCGTTAAGTTCAAATGTCCACTAATCGAATCATATGTCTCAAACATATGTCGTTTATGTGCAAGTAATGGAAAAAAACAATCTCATATATGAGCGGGTCACATAAGCTGTGTGTGTGTGTGTGTGAATAAAATGTAGGATTTAATTCGTCCTACAGATGTAGTTTTATGACCTTGAACGCAATATTGGCGAGCACAGAGTCTATGTGAAAGCTACAGTCAGAACAAGGACAACTTGCTTTAAACTTTATCTGTTTCTAAACATAAAAACAATTAGGTCAGTACAATAATCAAGGAAATTACAGTTATCAAGTGAAACGAACAAACATACCGACCAATATAGTGTGTCTTATGGAAATGAATAAAACTATGAGTCACAATAATAATAATAAGATAATAATGTTCTTCAATTAGTAAGTCATTTACAACAAAGATAATTTACGGGCACGTCAGACCAGATCACCTGGTGAACGCTTAAACCACGATTTGATTGGTTAGGTGTGGAAATAACTGACATAGAGGAGACTACGACTTATAAACTAACAACAAATAAAGAATGAGGAATCATCCAACAGTAGTAGTTCATGAGTTAAGCAAGAGTTATATATGAATATGTATTTAATAAACCCCAAAAGTTAATCCTAAGGGGGAGTTACCATTCTTCCAATTTCTCTCCTCATATAACAACTTTTCAAATTGTCGTTTGTTATTTATACACAAACAAAACTGAATTTAACTGATTTCATTTCGTCGTATCCTTGTGATCGGTATGACGCAATAATAAACGTATTCAATGCTTCTGAAGTGTATACACCACTATTGGATGTTGTTCTCTAGTAACGGTTATCAAGAAAGATGAGCAGTACATGAAGTTTAGGAATTAATTATTGACTATCCACCGTCACACTTTGTATAGTAAACACTTTATTTATATTGAATTATTTAGTCGATACTATTTTTTTGCAGGTTCGTGAAAGTAATCAATCTGGTGAGAAAAAGAAGCGGCTTCGACCTGATGGTAAGTTAAGCTGAATTCAAGTCAAATAGTAAGTTTACTTAAATGCCGTACATATATTGATTAATGAGTGTTATGTTCTATGTGTAGCTGTAACGATACGAATATAGAAAACCAATCAGAGGTGGTCAAACGAGAAGGTCATTTGATGACTGTCAAAGATGTCCTAAATGACGAATGTCTATGATTGGTCAGTCAGTCAGTCAGTCAGTTGCAACGTGGAACTTCGTACGTATGTACATAAGTTCATGTTGCCATACCACATTATTAGCACAGAGACGCAAATGTCACATCAAATCCCATAGTGATAAAGATAGTAGAGGTATTAATGTTATAATAAAGAAGACTAGAGTTCAAGATATTATTCAAAAAATATAATTCAGTGAGATAAGATTATAAAGACAAAGGCAGAGGTATTGACGAATCCAGAAGATTAGGATTTGAGAGAGCTCAAAGAGTGGATGCACCTGCGCCATTGCAAACGATTTTGAGCCATGCCATTCAAGGTCTCTAACCATTGATGACTTTCGTCTCGCGGACCCCAACCAGGTAGTCTACATCTACCAACATGACTCAGTCCACTAGTCAGTGACTTCATGGATTTCTGCCATGTTTTGGTCTGGCCGCCCCTAACTTTGTTCCAACCTACTCCTACACCACAAAACATAGCTCGTCGAGGCAGTCGGTGGTTAGGCATACGCAGCACATGTCCCAACCACCTCAACTGATGAAGTTTCACCACTTCATCTATTGATTTGCCATCCTTACCTAGTACTCGTTTCCTAACGACAGCATTGCTTACTCGGCCGTCCCACGGTATACGAGCAATCCTTCTTAAACATCTTTGATCGAATACTAGTAACCTACGAACATCTTCTACTCTTAACGGCCATGTTTCACAGCCATATAAGAGAACGGAACGAACTGCTGCGCAGTACACCCGCCCTTTGGTTAGCGAACGGATATCGCGCCTACGCCATAAGTGACGCAGGTTCGCAAAAGCCAATACAGCTTTCTGTATCCGAGCTGAGATTTCGTCAGTCACCAGACCGTTAGCACTGATGAGACTCCCCAGATAAGTGAAGTGATCTACACGCTCGACTACTTCACTCCCTATCACTAGTTCAGGTGCCGAAGCAACCCAGTCTTGAAGCAACATTTTGCATTTCGAGGGGGAAAACCGCATCCCGAACATGCTCGCATTGTTGCTTATGGTAGTCAGAAGACTCTGCATTTTGTCAGCGTCTTCACCGAATAGAACTATGTCATCGGCATATTCTAGATCAGTAAGCGACTTTCCTGGTAGAAGGTCAACCCCTGAAAAATCTGACGAGCTTAATGTTAACTCTAAGAGGATGTCTACGACAAAGTTGAACAAGAATGGAGAGAGTGGACAGCCCTGACGGACACCACTTGATGTAGAGAATTCAGATGACAGTTCGCCATATGCTCTCACCCGACCAGTGGTGTTCGAGTAGAGTGCTTGTATAAGGTTAATGTACTTCTTTGGTACACCTTTCAATGACAGACACTGCCACAGAACCTCACGATCCACTGAGTCGAATGCCGCCTTAAGCTCCAGGAACACGACTATTGTCGGACGTCTAAATGTGTGTCTGTGTTCCAGGACCTGTTGTAGTGTGAAGATGTGGTCTATACAACCACGTCCAGGTCGAAAACCAGACTGGTTTTCTCGAGTCTGCTCTTCGCGAGCTCTAGTTAGACGTCTAAGTATAATCGAGGCTAACAATTTAGAAACTATATTAGTTAAACTTATTCCCCTGTGATTGTCACAAGAGGACTTCTGTCCTTTCTTGTAGATTGGGACAATTAGCGACTGAGACCAGTCAGATGGGATTATTTCCATTTCCCAGATTCTACCTAGGATCTCGGTCAGTTTAACCGTTAAAACTGGACCACCATCCTTAAACATCTCAGGGGTAAGCCTATCGGGACCTGCCGCTCTACCTCCCCTTAGATTTCCTATAGCTTTCTCAACTTCATGTAAACTGGGAGAACTTAAATCGATTTGCCATTCAGGATGACTGGAGATCGTGGGCAACCGAAGAGTGGCTGAAGGCCAGTTGAACTGATCCCTAAAGTGTTCTGCCCATCGGTCCAGCCTCCTAGATTGAGAATGGATAATAAGACCATCCTTTTCCGAGATAGTCTCATTTACATTCGGGTTCCTAATACCGGTTTCTTTGATAAGGCGGAAAAGTTGTCTAGTGTTGCCTATCGCCGCTGCCTTTTCCATCGCTTTTGCTTTCGCCACCCACCACTGTTCACGGTCGTTACGTAGGCTTTTTATAAGTCTGCGCCTAAGTTGAGTACGCTCTTCATCATGTTCAGAGTCAGGTGGGATGCGTTTTCGTGCATCCATCAGTTCGGTGGATGCGACTGAAATCCACTGCTTCATCCTAGCCTTGTGGTTTACCTTGCTAGCAGATATCACTGCTGTTTCCACAGCCTTCTTTATATCATTCCAACCTGACTCCGGATGGGAATCACTTGCATGATCGCCCAACTGTTTTTCTAGTTCCTCCTGAAATATTTTCTTAGCTTGATTATCATCAAGTAAAGCCCTAAGAGGCTTCCTTACGGTGTCTTTCCTACGTCCAGCAAGCCTCAAACAAATACATGCTCGCACTAGGGCATGATCTGAATCCAAACATGTGCCCCAGAACGAGCGACAGTCCTCTATCGAACCCCTCCATCGGTGGCTGATGGCGATATGATCTAGTTGCGTCCAACGTTGAGACGACTTCGGGGGTCGCCAGGTCAAAAGGTGCTTTTCCTTATGCTTAAAATTAGTGTTTGCTAGAAATAGTTGGTTATCTGAGCACAGTTGCAACAGACGGTCGCCATTGTCTGTTCTTTGAGCCGCGAGACCGTAACATCCACCTAGGTGTCTTTCATTTTCACTTAGTCTACCTACTTGTGCATTGAAGTCACCAGCCATTATAACTATATCAGAGCGCTTAACTTTTTGGAGGAGGTACGAAAGCTTTCTGTAAAACTCATCTTTTACATCATCTGGGCTGCAGTCAGTGGGGGCGTAGGCTGATATGACGAAGAGGCAACAACGAGTGTCCCTATCTTTCCGAGTCCTTACTGTCCCGTTGAGTCGGACGGCGCACAAGCGACTATCTACAGGGATCCAGTCAAGGAGCGCTAGTTCTGTCGTACGATTCAATGCTATACCTACACCGGCGAGGCCCCTTGAAGCAGCATCAGGGCTA